ATAAAGTATATCAACTATAAAGAGAAATAGTAGTAGCTCCATTTACAGGCAACAGGCATGGTCTAGGCATGTTACAAACATTTATGATAACTTAAGAACATACTTCAAGAAAGATATAAACATTTTGTCGATGAGAAAACTGAGACTTAACATGGAAAATTAACTTTGCAAAGTGACTATGAGTAGCAGATATAGGTGTGGATTCATAATATGTGATTACAGAGGTAATGTTCATCTTTCATGCTGTGTTATTTCTTATCTAGAGAAGTATTTATGTATTACTATAAGTATACGTGCGCGCACACACACACACACACACACACACACCATTTTAAGCTTTGTATAAAAACGGCACCTGAGTCTTACTGTTTTCATAGAAATTGTTGCTTAAGCTAGAAAGGTATAGAATCCAAATAATCAGAATACTGTTTCCATTATTTGTACCTTTAAGAAGAGGAAAAATGTTATTTTTGCCCAAACCTCACTGTTGGCCCTGAGATTGTATCCATGAGGTACCCAAACTATTAAACACAGCAAATTGCACTAGGGACTAATGCCAAAATCAACTTTAACTTCAAAATGTATTGTGGTTACAAATAAGGTTTCAAACTTGCAGAGTAAAAATATATAGCAAAGCATAAATGATCTATAAGTATATTCTATTTTAACAGATAATTGTATGGGCAAACATAGAATAAACTTTTGAATCAAAATATACATACATAGAGAAAACCTTAGGCAGGATTCAGACAAGTGGGACATTTTGCAAGCAGCCCTACAAAGGCAAATATTTATATAAGAAATTTGCTTTCAAAGATGTCAAGTGCTGATATTTCAGTGAAATTGACTCAGCACTCATCCTACCCCCCTTATCCACACACATCCATTCCTTCATTACATTTGACTCCAGAGTCAGCACCATTACTCAGGAAGGATCTTTAATTTTGCCAGGGAGACAATCCCCTCGACGCAAGTATGTGGTCAGTGATAACATCTCAGTTATTATGCATAGGCAGTGCTTTTCATTGGTAAAAGCAAACATTTAAAAATAATCATCTGTGAAGGTACAGAGCAGATTTAATTTGAATATTAATTCAAGGAGACAGCCTGCCTTAGATTTAATAGTTAGTGTGCTGAAATGGAAGAACAAGGAATCTGATATATATACCTGGTGTTATGGGAAAAAAATATATATGTGTAGAGAGAGAGAGATGCAGAGACAGACAGACATACACACAGAAGGACCTGATGAAAATGTCCTTAAATTACATTCCTTCAAATTTTATGGCAGGGAAAAAGAAGTTGGAAGCAAGTGTAGATTTTCCGATCTTTAAAGGGAAGATACTTAGGCACTAGAATATAAAATGCAGGGTATCTATATGATAAATCAGTTTTTTTGTTTATACCAAGGAGGAGTATATGGAAGAGGGATAAGTTTAAATCATTGCAAGTTTTGTTTTCATTTTGTCTAGTTATACCACTAGTTCCACAAGCATTAATGCGTTGTAATATAAGCACATTTCATGGGAATTTAAATGGAATTTAGAGTTGGATAACAAAATAATCTGAAATAATCACAATTA